GGCTGCGGCCAGCGCTAACGGTGTTCCTGTGTGGTGTGCCTGGGGGGAGAGGAATACAGAAACCGCTGCCCTGCACCACGCCTGTCAAGGGTCCTCCCTGCTCTGTCCTTTTTATTTTTTATTTTTATTTTTAAAAATGAAGCTCCTGATATTTGTCCGCGTTAGGTTTCTTACTACGCTGATTCTGAATTCCCTGCGCAGTGATTTCCTAGGCCACGCAGCTAGAGGATCAGTTTAAGTGCTGCACGCCCTGGTTTCATGTGTGGTTTAGGTTTTGTCAAAAATCACGATCATCGGGGATGTTCTCACCTGTAGTGTGCTGTCTCTCTTGAATAAGTCCTAGATATCTAGCCTTGCTGACATCCTGTGATAGTGAGTTACGTACCATGTTAACTCACATTTTCTGACAGTGAGTTATCTACGCTATGGCTTCAGCTGAATGTTTTCCCTGCTATCTAGTATGGGACAGAGTAAACAGACTTTGCTGTTTTTAGTTTTCTCATGTTCTCCTTTCCTGTATAAGGTGTGCAGTTCCAAAGCCCAGCTTTAGTCACAATATTTTCTAGTTTTTACTGCTTTCATCTTCCTATCTGTGATAATTTTAATCTATTTTTTTTCAAAACACGGTATTTGCTACTGAGCGTAATGTTCTAGATGGGATTGTGCCATGATTTGGTTAATAATTAAAACGTCTACATTTTCCTATCCCATACTTCTGCAACATCAACTCAGTTGTAGAACTGAAGACATCAGTCACTAGTGATCCTTGGCATTTGTAGATTTATTTAGAACCTCGTGCAGCATCTAAGCAGGCTTAATCTTCATATAAATCTGCATCATTTAGCGTTTACCAGTATTTAATTTCAGTAGTTCATTTTGTGGGTTTTTCTGTTTTACTACGTTCCCCTTACGTTCTTTATATTTCTCTGAACTTGGCTCTGTTAGAAAGCAGCATTATCTTATTATTGCTTATCTTCCTTATTCCCTTTCTGTGATCACTGTTGCACTGTAACTGATAAGGAATTTGATAGCCTAGGCTGTTAGCCTATGACCACAACAAAAATAGACTAGTGAAAGTTTTGTCTTTGTTTTTCTTCTCAGCCAGTTCTTGATCTCTAAAAGTTTATTTTCAAAGACACAAGAGTGGCACACTCCTTAGAGTGTGCCTGCACAAATAAATTGACATAACGTAAGCAAGAATGCAGTTCATCAGCGTGTCATGTGCTGTGCAAAGACTGCTTGTGACAATCCTATCCCTCTGTAACTGAAGGCTAATTCTTTTCTGTTTATTGTGATCATACATGAGAAGTTACTGCACAAAGTAAAAGGAAAGTGCTTAATTCATTACTTTGGCTGCTGTATGTTAGTACATTCTTATATTAATTCACTTAATTTTTAGTGTTTTTTGCGTGCAACTTACCAATTTTTTGAAAGTCATAGTACACCATCAATCTTCTCTCCTCTTTTCGCTATTTTACATTCAAAGGCATCTCATTGTTTTAGTGAGACATATTTTTTTAGAATTTATTGATGTTAGTACTGTCTCCCAGATGTTTTATATTCCATTTTTAGTTAGCACTACAATCAAATTTCTAAGCATCTGTGCATGATGACTTTATTTCTATTTCTATTATCTAGTAGCGTAACAGTAGCAATGCTGTTGAGTGAAGTCTGCCTGACTTTTGTGGGCTAATGTTCATCGAGTGTTTGATCGTGACCCTCTTGTCTTATCCTTGTGGCATCTGGAATTTCAGTGACCTCATATTCAAGTGTAATGAGGCCTGAAGTAGTTGTGTTCCTGAGGTTTGTTCAGGTTAGCAAGAATCTTCATTCTGAATGAAGTGAATTGATCCATTTTCTTTTATTTTTGTGCTCACTTCTTTAAATAGTGGTGTTTTGCTGCCACTCTGCAGTTCTATGGTGTGACAATTGTTCACAATAGAAGATTTTCATGTAGGATTTTTACCGCATTGTTTTAGCACTTTGGTCATGCTGTACTTGAGGAAATAAGCTTTCTCTGAATTTGTAGAACTGAAGCTATTGTATTACTTTAGTGTTACTACCTTGCCATCTTCATCTCCGCGCGTATCTACTTCTATAACCACAAAAAATCAAGTCTGTACGTTTTTTTCCTTTCCTTATTTTTTTTTTTGTTCCCCCTCCCCTCTACCACCATATTGAGCACTGTCGAGATGCTGAGGATAGGATGCTTCTCTGCAGTGTCTTCAGTCTCAGTTCCAGTTCTGATCGAGTGAATCTTTTATTTTCCTTGTACACATTTTTTTTTTTTACTTGATTAACATTTCAAGTTTTATTACGGATTTGTGTTAGTTAATCCTGTTTTAGTCATACATACTGCATGCAGAACTGTGAGATATTCTTAAAAACATACATCTTGGGTTTACAGAATCACAGAATGGCCAAGGTTGTAAGGGAGCTCTAGAGATCATGAAGTCCAACCCCCGTGCTCAAGCAGGGACCTCTAGAGCACATTGCCCAGGATCACATCCAGACGGGTTTTGAATATCTCCAGGGAAGGAGACTCCACTACCTCTCTGGGCAGCCTGTTCCAGTGCTCAGTCACCCTCGCAGCAAAGAAGTTTTTTCTCATGTTCGGACGGAACTTCCTGTGTTTCAGCTTGTACCCGTTGCCTCTTGTCCTGTCACTGGGCACCACGGAGAAGAGTCTGGCCCCATCCTCTTGACACCCTCCCTTCAGATACTTGTGCACATTGATCAGATTCCCCCCTCAGTCTTCTCTTCTCCAGGCTAACCAGGCCCAGCTCCCTCAGCCTTTCCTCATAGGAGAGATGCTCCAGTCCCTTGAATCACCTTTGTAGCCCTCTGCTGCACTCTCTCCAGTAGCGCCATGTCTCGCTTGTACTGGGGAGCCCAGAGCTGGACACAGTACTCCAAGGGAGGCCTCCCCAGGGCTGAGGAGAGGGGCAGGATCACCTCCCTCCACCTGCTGGCAACACTCTGCCTAATGCACCCCAGGATCTCATTGGCCCTCCTGGCCACGAGGGCACACTGCTGGCTCATGCTTAACTTGTCGTCCACCAGAACCCCCAGGTCCTTCTCTGCAGAGCTGCTCTCCAGCAGGTCAACCCCCAGCCTGTCCTGGTGCCTGGGGTTCTTCCTCCCCAGGGGCAGGACCTTGCCCTTGCCTATGTTGAACTTCATGAGGTTCCTCCCCGTCTATGTCTCCAGCCTGTCCAGGTCCCGCTGAATGACAGCACAGATATGAAGATAGGACCTTAAATAGAACTGTAACACCTCTGTTTCAGAAAGTTGGAAACAGTAACTTCTTGCAGGTTGGGAGAATAAGCTGATGCTGTATTGTGCCTGTCATTTTCTTATACTCTTTCCTAGACACCTGTTACTGGCCTATTTTGGAGATGAGCTACAGGGTTAAATGGATGGTTTGATCCAGTATAGTTTTTCTTGAAACATAAGACTGTTAACTTTTGTTTATCTATGTTTATTTTTATTTTTTTTAATCACAACTTTAACGGACTACTTAACTTACTGAAATTTCCCTTTCTTAACCTTAGTAACTTTCCTCTGTGTTCAGCTTTTCTCAGTCTGAACACACCATGGTCATAAATAATTAGTGGCTACTGTTACACATTGAATTAACACCTTTGTATTACAAACAGTTAGACTGAATTAAGAGTAGCTTTTTCACTGGTACGCTCTAGAATTGGAGTTTTAAGAAAAGATGGGAAATATGTCTGCATATTTTACACGCAGGAAATTTGGAATCTTCTGTGCTTCACTTTAATTTCTCTCCAGTTTAGCGATATGTTGTCTGTGCTTTCACATGTTGGGCTCTTACTTTCAGAATTTTTCCTTATCTTTCAACCTAAAGAAATGCCATCCATTCTGCAGGTAATTCTAGTTCTGAAACCAGTTTCTAATATACACTTTCCAAAACTATCAGACCTACTTGAAGTTAATCATAGAAGTAGGTAATGATCAAGTGTCAAAGTTCCAGTAACATTTTGAAGCTAATTTGAAAATTGGATTGAGGGATTGTAATTATTATCATAATTTAGATGCAGTAATTTCTTCGGATATTTTGATATCTGTGAAAAACATGGCCCTGTTACTTAATCTAATTCAACATAAATAGTTGGTTATTTAATTTTTAAGTCCTTATATATCATCACTTAAAGTTTCTGGAAGCTTAAGTTGTGTCTTAGTAACAATTATAACTTTCCTTTATCAGAAACTGTAGCAAGGGCAACGTTTTCCTAGGCTTGCGAGAAGGCTACTGCCTCAGTTTATACTTGTTCTTATTACTGAGGAAGGCTAGAAGTCTTTCATTGAATAAAAGCTTAGATTTTCTATGGCTTGATGACGCTTATCTGAGAAGGGCTTATATGCATGTTGGGAAGGAGGATTTTCAAGCTTCTGTACAAAGATCAAATAACAAATTTGCTAGCTGGAGAAATTTGGCTTTCTGTCATAGGAGAAACATAATATGCTGTCATATTCAAGATCTTGAATAGCCATGAAACAATTGCAATGTAGAAAATGCAAGAAAATAACGGTACAACAAAATAATAATTAGGAAGTTCATGTTTACTGCAAAAGGATGATGTATAATGGGATTGTAGAGAACTGTGTTATTTAGAAGAAGCAAATTCAGAGCCATTGTTTTCATAATCTGATTACAACATTTCCCCAAATCGAAGCGAAGTGTACATGAATGCACTGCCCTTTTCTGACCTTTTGCAGACAGCTTCTTTGCTGCCATATGGGCTCTATTTCTTAATGAGAGTGCCAAACTGCAATCTGTAGCAGCTTGGCACTTAAATAGTTCCAAAGATTCGAGTTTTAGTACTTCGGCAAGGAATATCAGAGGGTCTCTGTTAGAATACTCATCCCTTCCACAGCTGTGTAAGGGCATCCAAGTGCTGGCAGTGCAAGCTGACAAGATTACTTTAGCTGCCTTTTGCTGGCTATGAACAGGAAGGTATTATGGCTGCTCCAAAGGAATTAAGAATGAAAATCAGGCCCTAGGAAGACTTGTTAAGGTTATCTACTGAGAACAGATTGAACTTGTCTGTTCTCTGTTCTAGAAGATGGAGAACAGAAGAGTCTTCAGAATGACTGTACAATCAATCGCTAATCAGATGCTATAGGAAACAATGCTCTAAACCTCCAAGGCATTGTATTCCAACTTTATTCTCTTGCATCTCTTAAAGGATGGTCATTTTCTTGTATACCAGCTGAGTCTTTTATCAGTGTGGCTCCTTCTTTTAAGTTAATGCTTTGACTTTAAAAAAAAAAAAAAAGAAAAAAAAAAGAAGTCTATATATGTTTTTCATGTTCTGTAATGGGTGAGGTAACGTATTAGGATGGGAATGACAAGCGGTGAAGTTAATGAAAACACTTTCGAGCATGCTTGATGATTTCCAGAATTTATGGCAATGACAGGTTTCTGCATTAAAGTCATTGAAAATCAGGATTTGCAAAATTAATCTGTAGAGAGGAAGTTCACGAGCTAATGAGGCAGGGTTAGCAAGAAAGACTGAATGTTAGTGTTGGGAGGTAGGATGGGTAATATGGAACACAGTGAAGGAACAAAATTAAATTAGATGTATGAAGAAATAAGAAAATGGCGGGGGGGGGGGGGGGGTGGAGAACAGCAGCCCCGGCCCAGGAGAATGTTGCATAACTTGTAGAATGAGAAGGCAGGGGGGAGTAGAATAACGTCAGGAAATTTTCTAACAATCAAATAAGTTGAAGTTAGAGGGTAATAAATTTATAATCACTTTGACTGACTGAGTATCTTCACTATATAGCTTTTATTTAAGCTATAAAGATTTGAATTATCTTAGGCAGGTGTAACAATAAGAGTGTTTCTCATATTGCTGATTAGCACTAAATTTGAGTTAACATATTGTGTAAAGCTTCTCAGTTTCCTTTTCATAACTGTCTTCTCTTTTTTTAATGGATTTTATGAAAAGTTATGTATTTATTTGAAAATGCATAAGATATTTAATAGACGTTAGAGAACTCTTGTGACAACTACTCTGAGTGTGTATCATTGTACCAAAAGCATTTATTTTCTGCAGAAAACCTATGAGTTCTGATTTATTTTATTACATAAAAGTAGTCATTTTCAGGTTCATTTGGTGAAAATGGCATGCATTTGTCTATTTTTACAAAAGTTAGTGAACTTCTATCTCCAAACTTAATTTCTAGTTTACTAAAACAGATCTTTTCATAGTGTCTTTTCAATCCATGTGCTTTTGTTTTGCTGAAAACAGGAATTTTTTTGTCGTTATATGGAAATGTTCTATCTTGATCAGAAAGCAGTACTTTTATGAGTAATTTAGGATAATTTATTAAGATTAAGGCTAGCTGTGCTGATTCATTTGAGAATATGAAACCGAAAGTTTAAATACTGAATAAACACTAGTAGGTGGTGTGCTGTTTTTTACTCTACAGTACACGCATTGCACAGCTGAACAGCTATATGAGATGGTTTCAGGAGTAGTATTGAAAGGTGCATGTTTTTCCTTAGTAAGTTCAAGATGTCATGTGGGTATGTGTGTTATAAATAGGAAAAACTTTTTTTTTTTTTTTTTTAAAGCTATTAAATTAAAAAAAAATATTTTTTATCAAATTAACTTTATTTTTTTTCTCCAGGAAATAGGTAGAATAATTGCTAGGAGAAGAATTTAAAAAAATATAATTCCACAACCTCAGGAGCTGTCAGCGCTTTGCTTCCTGGAAGACTTATGTCTGGTGCTACCTGCATTTAAAGATCTGAGGTTCTTCCTGCATTTAAAAACTTTCTGTTACTCTTCTGTGCCATACAATTATATGCTTGCATTTCCTTTGTTTATAGAAAGGCTGCCTTTATAACAACACGGAAACAATTTTATTAAAAGAAGGATGGGAGTTTCTTTAAATAAAAGTTTTCAGGCCAAAGCCTTTTTTGCTTTTTGAGTTTTCTTTGATCAGTCTTGGAGTATAATTCAGAATATAATTCATTTAAACATTTTCATAAGAGAGAAAATGTGGAGGTTCTCCCACCTTAATTGCCTAACCATATTATTAATCTTGGTGTGCCTGACAGATATGCCAGGTCTCTTTCTTGCTCTCAATTCGTACTCATTTTTCACAACTAACAGCAGTGCAGGCTAGATAAGCACGAGAGGAGGTGTGCTGCCTCCTAGACGTATGTGGTGGCAGTGACTTGGGCTCCAAATTCTTGTCTGTGGAGAAGGGCAGGAAGAGGTACTGAGCTGCTGAGTTGGTACCTGCTGCTCGAGTGCTTGTTTCTGCCTCTGTCTGAGGAGGAGATGCTTGTCTGGTACAGGTAGTCCTGCAAAGCTAATCTTCCGGTTTGATGAAGCTGCTCTCCATACGGGTGTAAGGATACGAGTTCCTGAGCATCTCATCTGGGCAAAGATCAGTCTTCTTACAGGTCTCTTCAGTCGTCTTATAATATTATTTTTTCTTCCTTCCCTATTAATATTGAGGTTACAAGATCGACTTGTCTTTGCATTGTTGATATCTTCAAATAGCCCTCAACAGCCTGTTAGCGCTGTTATTCTGCCCTAGTCAAGCGCATCGGAAGAAGGAAAATCTATTCTGTATCAGTTTCTTGAATAGTGACTCTGGCAAGCTCTGTCAGAATGCATCCAGTTCTCCGGGCTGTGGTATGGAGCTGGGCTTCGTTCGGTCTGTGTTTGCTGCCTACGGTGTTCTCCAAAATGCTAAAACTGGGAGGGTTTAGTATGCAAAATGAGGTGATGCTCAATGCAATTGTAATGTGCCACAGAACAGATATGGGAAAGCGTTATTCCCTCACCTGTTTGAGCAGCTTTTGGTTATAGTTTCTAGTAAGTTACTCTCAGTTCTTATAAAACAAACAGTTTAATTTGTCATATATAATCTCCAATACTATCCTAATAAAATGTTTTCTTATTTTAACTTGTGGTTGCAGAACGTTTGCAGCTGAAATGCTTTGTAGTATGGAAATGAACCAAATCAAACAAGATATCAACGTGTTAAACAAAAAAGCTAGAATCATTGCTATAGTTAGATAGCTGCTAATGGCTGACACCCTTAAAATGTTATATTTAAAAGTTATCTTTAAAAATATTCTTGTTTATCTGCAAGTAGAATTTATATATATTGGATAATCTTTTTAGTATTTTTCTGAATAGGAATTTATGCAGTGTATTTTAATTTCTAAGAATAATTGGCTGACTATTGCATAGTACAGTATGGCATACCTACAGCTTACTGGAGGTTAGCAGTAAGGTGCTAGGGTCTCTAATGAAATTATTACACGTTTTGTGTAATTATTACACGTTTTGGTAAATATGATGAACGACAAATAAAATAAACAAACAGAAGAGCTTGGCTTTCGATGGGGTAATTCCAAGCAAGTTTTTCTTACAATTTTGTTTTGCCTTGTGTCTGAACCACATATAAGCATTGCATTTTAGAGGAAAAATTGACCCTGCTGCTCTGCAGCAACAAAACTCTTCCAACAAGCCTTAAGTAACACCCGTTAGAAAGAGT